ATATTTGTTAATTTTTAGTATACATATAGAATAGATAAATTTTGATAATGGATAAATTCCTCTTTATTGATGCCCTTGTGAAATTTTAATATGTTTTACAGTGGCGTACATAAATACACATAGACAACCCACCCACCAGTAGTGGTGGCCATTGGTGTGTCCTGGTTTTTTGTTTTTGTTGGGGTTTTTTGTTTTGTTTTCAGTTGTTGTTGCTGTTGATTTTTTTTGGGGGGAGATGTTTTTGTTTTTGATTTCTTTCTCCAAAACATCTGGGTTTTAGTTATTTTTTGTCCAGACAAAACACTGAATTCTAAAAATCTAACAGAGTATTCTCGCGTATTTGTGTAACTTTATAGATGAAGAGGTCACCCATAGCATAGTATCAACTCTATTCTAACACACTGCTTTGTAAAGTTGGATATCTGTTCTTTATCTGTTTTGTATATAAGTTTCAGAGATCAGAAATTCTAGGAGCTTATATTTTTGGCGGGAATATTTTCAGGGAACAATATTTTAATTCAGTTCAATTGGAGTTTTGTTTTATCATTTAGTTTTACCCAATAGTATATAGGGTTGGGTTTTGATAATAATACAGATCTGTAACGACGTAGGCTGTCTAGCTTTTGTACTGTGACAGTAACCAAAAACTGCCAAGGCTTCTCGGCATCGCATTCCAGAGAATGGGCTGCTCCTTTTTTTCTTTTTTTTGTCTGAGGGACTGATGAAGTAACATATGCCTCTCGCACACCTCCACTCAGTGAATACTTTGTGAAAACTGTGACTTACCCGTGGCTGGCATTACGTTCCTCTCTGTCTCTCTCTTTGCCCGTGTATGGTTTTGTCAAAGCATGAATTTAAGCATGCGACCATTTAGTTAGAAAACAGAACAGCTATCATCTGCTTGATAAACTCTTGAAATAAAAATAATTACGATTATTTCAGTAACCCGAGACCACCTATGAAATGTACAGAGTGCAAATCTTTTGGCGAGATTCGATTAAAAGTATCTTTTGAAAAAAAAAAAGTAACATCACCCAATTATCAAGCAGACAGTTGTTCTGATTCACCTTTTGTTATTTATAATCATTATTATTATAGCTATTATTTGAGTTTTCTTTTTATAATACTAGCTTTTATCGTTTTACTCATTTGTTTTGTTGTTTCATTTTAGTTTGGATTAGGTAGGGGCAAAATTTTTTGGTGCACAATTGTTTGTAATTCAAACATTTTTTTCACTTTCAATTAATTTTTGCGCAAGTCAAAAACTGGCAGAATTGGAGTCATTGGCCATAGCAGAAGCCCTAAGTCTTCTTTACATTTGATTCTTCAGTTTCACTTTGAAAAACAAATGGAAAAAAGGAAAGAATATTCTCCTCTGCAGATGCATTGTTCATCGTCTAATCTTCAGCTTCGAACTATTATTACAGTTATTATTACTATATTATTATTATTTTTATTATTATTATTATTAT